GCAAAGTGATGATTCTGATAGGGTAGCACAGTACAGGTGCATACAAGCTCTATTGTTCGGAAACCAATAACATTGAATTCAGCAGAGATGTGATTGTGAAGGAATCAGAAGTTTGGAATTGGGATAAGTCTCAATCTGATTCTGATGTTAGAACCTCTGAAGAAAGGTCAGAGTTAAGAATTTCTGAAGTTGAAGTAAACTCTGATATTGACTCTGACTCTGATACTGATTCAAACTCTGAAGAAGACTCAGAAGATGAAGGTGACCCAGATGACCCAGACTCTAATGATTCAGACTCTGATGGCAATCCAGATCTTGGTGGCAATTCAGACTCTGGAAATATGCCAGACTCTGAAGATGGTCAAAGCTCTGGAGGTCAATCATCTGAAGCTAGAAACTTTGAAGCTCAAGACTCTGAACAAGTTCAGAGACCACAAAGAATCAGAAGCGTTCCCAGAAGATTTGCAGAATTTGACATGCTGCAAGACACTGAAGTAGACTTTGAAGGAGAAGTTATTCAGTGTGCCATGTTAGTAGACTCTGAACCTATAAGTACAGAGGAGGCTCTTAAGCAGAAGCTCTGGCTGAAGGCCATGAAAGAAGAACTTGATGCTATAGAGAGAAACAAGACTTGGAAGCTGACAGAACTTCCAAAAGACAAGAAAGCCATCAGCGTCAGATGGGTTTTCAAGCAGAAGTTAAAGCCAGATGGCTCAATTGGCAAACATAAAGCAAGGTTGGTAGCCAGAGGATTTCTACAAAAACCTGGGCTGGATTATTCTGAAGTGTTTGCACCTGTAGCAAGACATGAAACAATCAGAATGGTGATCGCAATAGCTGCTAACAGGAATTGGCCTCTGATGCATTTAGATGTAAAATCTGCATTTCTGAATGGTCCATTAGAAGAAGAAGTTTACGTGTCACAACCTCCTGGATTTGTGAAAAAGAATCAGGAAGGGATGGTGTACAGATTATACAAAGCTCTATATGGATTGAAACAAGCGCCCAGAGCTTGGAATCAGAAGATTGATTCATTTTTCAAGAAGCAAGGCTTTCAGAAATGTGAGATGGAGTACGGTGTCTATGTTCAGCATACTTCTGAAGGCAATATGCCTCTGGTATGTTTATATGTTGATGATATACTATTGACTGGAAGTTCTGAACAGGAGATAGCCAAGTTCAAGAAGGTTCTAATGAATGAATTTGAAATGACTGATCTAGGCAAAATGACATACTTTCTAGGGATGGAGTTCAGATATTCTGAGAAAGGTATCATTTTGCATCAGCTCAAGTATGAATTAGAACTTCTGAAGAGATTTGATCTGAAGAATTGTAAGATGGCTGTCACACCTTCTGATACAAATCAGAAACTGGATTCAGACTCTGAAGGAAAGGATGTGGATGCTACAACCTTCAAACAGTTGGTTGGTTCTCTGAGGTATCTGTGCAATACCAGACCTGATATTTGCTACTCAGTTGGGATGGTTAGTAGGTTCATGAGTAAACCTAAGTGGTCCCATTACCAAGCTGCTGTCAGGATTCTGAGGTATATCAAAGGAACTCTGAAGTATGGAGTGTTATTTCCCTCTGGAGGAAATAATGAGTCAGAACTTCTGAGTTATTCAGACTCTGATTGGTGTGGAGACAGAGTTGACAGAAGAAGTACATCTGGGTACTTGTTCAAATTTCTGGGAGGTCCTATTTCTTGGTGTTCCAAGAAGCAACCTGTTGTGGCGTTATCAACCTGTGAAGCTGAATACATTGCAGGTGCTGTTACTGCATGCCAAGCTGTGTGGATTCTGAATCTGTTGCAGGATCTGAAGATTAAAGTAAACAAACCTCTGAAGCTGATGATTGACAACAAGTCTGCAATCAATCTTGCCAGAAATCCAGTGTTGCATGGGAGAAGCAAGCATATTGAGACCAAGTATCATTTTCTGAGACATCAAGTTCAGAGCGGAGTGTTAGAAGTTGTACACTGCAGCACTCAGAAGCAGTTGGCAGATGTTCTGACGAAAGCTATCAAGACTGATCAATTTCTCAGATTAAGGGATGGAATTGGTGTTACAAGTTTTGATGGAATATGAATTAAGGGATGGTATTAGTAATAATTCATATTTTATTATATTACTTTCTTAAGCCCATAAGTTTGTTAGAGGGTATTTTAGTATTTTATCTTATTCTAGTAACCCTAGTTTTAGCTTATAAATAGGGTGACAATCATTGTAACTCTTAATCCTGTTTCTTCTGCCGTTATTCTCTTTAATAGAATATTTCCCTATTTTCATCATTTATTCTATCTTTGCACCAACAAATGCTATGTTGTTCATGTTATTGGGATGTAGGTGAATGTTATGTGTTACTGCAACGGTGCCAAGCTCATGCCCATTTTCAATTTAATTTGAATTTTTTTTTTGTGTTTTTGCTATGTATGTAGGTGGACCATAAGCGCGTGTAATATTCATGCTGCTGAATGTTCATGGTATGTTTGATGCAAGATGTTGGTGATGTTATGGTATGAGGGCCATTGGATGATGAAGGTGCAAGATGAATGTTGCCAAAACCCCATGCCTTTTCCAACTTTACCTCTTTTTTTTTCTTGTTTTTTTAATAATCATTTTAATGCTTATTTATGAGTAAAAAATAGGGATCTGTATGTTTACTATGGTTGTATATAGTATGAGCTTAATACATTGCAATGCATTTTCAATGTATTGATATTCAATTTTACTCAACAATTGTTTTTTCCTTTTTCTTTGAACTTTGTTTTATTTAATATGTATGTATGAAACATAATTTGGAATGGGATGCAGTATGTGAACGATAGGTATCATAGAAATAAATTAAACCACTATTTTTCACTTTATTTTGGCCTTATGATAGAGAATATAGGTGTGCAATAATCTAAATCAAAGGACCTCTTAAACTCATAATTACTTTTAATCTAAAATTAAGACTTGAGATGCTAAAGTAAGCATTAGCAAATCTAAAATTCAAATCAAAACTTATTACATTGTAGAACAAAAAGCTTCCTCCTACTTTTAAACCCAAATGAAAGTGTAAACAAAAAGAATGATCATGGGTAACCCAAATTGAAGCTTACTATTTCCCTCAAATCCAAGTTAGCTAGCAACCATTAGTTTTCTATAATAAAAAAATCAAGGAAAGAAATGACTTTAAATCACTATGAATTTCATTTTAAAATTAAAGGATGGTGTAAGACAAGTGTAAATGCATAGATGTAAAACAAATGGAGTTAAGGAAAGATGTCTATGCAATTAACAAGTGCATAATTTAATGGGAAAATTTTAAGGTATGACACCAAAGATCAACGCGTAGCAAATCTTTGTTGCAAGTGGTTGGGGATCAACGAGATCTTCTTACTCATTTACCACATATTATGGTTGTTGTTGATGTCGGTCATGTACGTTGTCTTGCAATGTTTCAGTCTAGCAACATGATCGTTGTTGTTACTACTTGTGATGGCTTTTATCACTGTGGGATGGAAACAAACATATATTGGGAATAGTTGGTGTGATTCATGCAAGTTTTACCAAGTCTCGTAGTGGGCGCCAAATGTACTAGAATAGTACACTAGTGTAACTTTATCACCAATGATTAGTGAAGTCTCTTTCAAATATTTTGTGAATTGTATATATCTCTTCTTTAAGTGGTCATTTGCTTATATAGTTGATCTGGTATTCTCGCACTAAAGACTCATTAAGGATCATTATACGATTGTTTCTTATTAAATGTGACATCTTAGTGGTGATTGAAATCAGACTTTATTGTCAGATATTGAACCATAATGTTATCAATTAATCATAAATGTGTTATCTACAAACTTTACATCTCCATATTCGAATATTTCTTCCATCATTTAGCTTAACCCAGCCTTATTTTGTCGAGCGATGTATACTTCAAGGCAAGTTCGTTTGACTTCGTCATATAACCTAGTCAGAGTCATTAGGTACTCGACCCAAAATGAATTGGAGTGTATACAATGACTGACAAACAAGAGTGGTTGTATGAGAAATGGTTTTCCTTAGACCAACTAAAAGATAAAACATTTACAAACACAAATTATGAAAGATTTACAGGTAAGATTTATATTTAAATTATTATCACTACATCAAAAGTCAATATAAACTTTTTTGAGAATTTAATGTTGCAAATCACAACCCCATTTATAAGCACGATAAACAATAGGACAAACTTTTGAGTTACATAAATTTCTTATAGACCAATCAATTGTAGTTGTTTTTTTTAATTAAAGACAACATTCATTCATTTAAATGTACAAAATACATTTAATAAACAAATTCAAATTCACTATAAATTAAAAAGGATGAATTTGCGAAGAATCCCACAACACCCACGTTAATAACATATAACCGCAAAATGCCTACAAATATGATGAAACTTAAATGCTCGAAATATCCATATCTCTGATTCTGCAGCGTTGAAGGCGTAAAAATCATTGATTAAATATGCACTAAGTCAAAACTAATTTGTCAATCTAAATTAAACAAACACCGCAACACAACTGAAAAACAAAATAACAACGCCGCAATAAAATGACGACTAACACACCGTCACACTAAAACTACAAAATCACAAAAAAAAAAAAATTAAAATATATGTCAAATCACTCGTTTGAATAAAAAAAATAAAAATAAAAATTAGAGGGGATAATTTTATGGTCAATACTTAATTACGGTATGTTAAAAAAAGAAAAAAAAAATAAAACTTATAATTTCAACCTAGATAGATACTACTACTACTACTACTGTAATGGAACTGAACAGCTGGGACAAAATTGATCTCCAATTACAACATTATTATCACAGAAAAGAAACAGAACACACCGTATAAATGATGGACTGCTATGGATACACAATCGCTTTTGTTAAATCACAATCCCCCCACTCAATTTTACTTATTATAGATAACCATAAATTAAGAAAACAAATCAACATAACAATACTAAATCACATAACTCATGGCACAATCTTGTAAGCTCTTGTCTTCTCAATCCAATTAATAACAGAATTCTTAGTGTTCCTGAATCCAAAGAACCCATGCTCTTTCGACTTGTTCATACTATCCGTAAACCCAGTTCCTCCCAAACTAAGATCAGCAAACCACCACTCAGCAACCTCTTCAAGCTTCGTTGGCTGAAGCTGATGCTTCTCAACAATCTCCTCCCAAACAGGACCTTTATCTTTCATCAACTCCGTCAACTTCAAACGAGGACCCTCTTCGTCGAACCCATACTCCTCAATCTCAAACTGTTCCGCCAACACCGTCCATAGCTGCTTCCACCTGAACACATCACCGTTGCTGCAGTTAAAAGCTTCGTTCTTAGCGTTAGGATCCACCGCAGCCCAAATATGTTGCTCAGCAATCAAATCTGCATCGGACGCCATGTAGTAATTCTCCCAAGCTAACTTTGTCCCTGGGAATCTCAGAGGAAGACCCTCGTGTTTACAAATCGCAGCGTAAACGGAGAGAGTTCCGAGAATGTTCATCATACTGTAAGGTGAGAATCCAAAGATGATAAGAGGTCTATGAACAGACCAACTCAAACCCTCCTTTTTTGCCGTTTCTTCAAACAAAACATCTTCGAGAGTATAATAGAAATTGTTTGTATCCAAACGCGGCATATCCTCCGTGTACGGTGGCTCATGGTACTTGATCTTGCCAAACGACTCGAATGAGCCTTTGTAGTGTTTTCCGCCGGTTTGAAGTGAAACATGGCGGAGATTTGGAGCGTTTGGGATGACCGCGGTGAGGACGTTGCGTAACATGGCACCGTTAACTTCACAGTTTTCTGCTTCGGTGGGACGGCTTGCCCAACAGACGTAGAAGATGTGTGTGACATCGGTGAGAACGGAGAGTTTGGTTTCGGAGTCTTTTGGATCGGTGATGTCGCACTGGATATATTCGACGGGGTGATCTTCGTTCCAGGAGGGTCGTGGACGGCGTGCGACGCCGTAGACTTTCCATCGACCGCCGGGAGTGTCGGATAAAGGTAGAATTTCAGCGAGACTGTTGCCAACGATGCCGGTCACGCCGACCACTAAGGCCACGTTCTCGAAGTTTCGCGGTGCTTCATCTTCATCCAATTTCTTCTGCAGAAAGTAAAAAACTAATTTGTTAATAATTGAAATTTAGAAAAACAAAGAAAAGGAAAGAAAAAGAGAAAGGAAATCGTGGAAATGGTTTACCTTGGCAGCGCCAATAGCTCCGGACCACCACCAACTCATAGTTCAGATCGAAAGAAAGAATGTAAGGGAAAAGGAGAGAGAGAGAGAGAAAGGTTAGTGATAAATGAATCTCAATGTTTGTGTTTATGCTATGAGTGTTTGCGTCTTATACTTGTGGATCTGTGTAAACGAAGACGAATCTTGACTAGTTTTTATGTGGAGTCGTCGTTATCTAGTATGAATTTGAAAAGGTTGTTATTACCAAGAAAATAATATCTATGAAGGAAGGGAATGTTAAACACGAGTTTTTATTTTAATCCGTACTTTCACACTTTTAAAATAAGTAACCTAATGAAAATTGTTATGACGTGACTATAGCTATTACAACCGACCATTTTAAACGAAATGTAATTTTTCTAGAATCTTTTTTAAACTGCACAGTCCGATCGGATTCGGTTTTATTTTTATGACTCAATTTTGATTAATAATTTTTTTTTTTTTTACAAATTCAGTTAAATTAATTTAGCAGATAAATCAAACTGATTTAATTTTATTAAATAAATTTATAAATTAAATAATATTTAAAATTTCATATTGCATGTTTTGTATTTTTTAAAGTATACAATGTCACAATTAGATTATATAGTGATAATATCTTGACAATATTATATATCTCATTTTTATAATGAGTCGGTCCTATAGTAATAAAAATAAATAAAATATATATTAATTAAATTCGGTTGATTTTGATTTTCGACGGGTCCAAAATAATCATCCAAACTCGGTCGAAGTAATTCTATACTATCTAATTAACCAATTGAATCAACCCGACAATCGACCCGACCCATTTGTACAAAAAAGACAACGGGTCAAATTATCCTAAAAATAATCAAAGTATTTACATTTCAAATACATCCAACAATTTTATGTAATTCAGGTTTGGCAGATAACAACTTTCGGAATTCACTTTTGACAAATAACAAATTTTTTATTCTCTCACTATTATATATAGAAAATGTGTCAAATTTAGATACTTACTTCAAATTCAATTTTTATTCATTTTTCTTCCTCACAGACTGGTTTGATCTTTGAAGTACTAACTTTGCAGATCAGTCTCCTCTCCACCACACCAGAAGTTCAGATTCGTCATTACTTCTGATCCTCACTACATTTCTGGTTGCATCCAGATCTATCTCAAGCTCCACAAGTGGTTGGATCATTCTGAATGCCTCATATTGGACCTCTAATTCCTTCTCCTGTCTCACAGCCTAAAGTCTTAACTGGCTTCCAACTGCGACGAGTAAACCTTGGATTACAAGGCACTAACAAACTACTGAAGAACATATGTAATATTGTTCGGTAGCCCAATTCGCAAGCATTAAAGGAAACATTTATTCGCCTCAAAGAAAACCTTCATAATGTTCCTTCGCGATGAAAGAATATTCAATAGGCCATCTCAATGAGAAATCAATCCGTCGTTCCTGAGCCGATGGCAACAAAGCTCCTAAATCCAAAAATCTGCATCGGAGCAAGAAACATCAAAGTCCTGCCCCAAAGCCCTAAGGGAGATCGAGGTAGCCACGCTCCTCCCCCTGACCAGACAAAAAACTAGTCATTGAAGGTTCAATAGAATCATCCATTGTGCACCAAGATTTTGGAAAATAAAATACCAAAATCCATGGAGAAACCACCCAAGCTAGGTGAGTATGATAGAAAATGATATTCAGACGAGCGCGTGGAACTTATCAATGATCGACTGAACTATTTTAACGCGGACGAAGCCTCCAAATGCAAGTTGTTTTCCTTTACCCTGGTCAAGCCGACCAGGATATGGTTCAATGGTTTTCTAGACATAAGCATTGAATCTTGGAATAATTTTTGTAAACGATTTTATGCATTTTACCACCTGGAAGTGACAACTAATGATTGTAGTTGCACTTAGCAGGATTATTCGAGAGAAGAAAGAAAGCATGTGGTCGTATATCAACCGATTTATACAAGATGCAGTTGAATTTGAGGAAGCTGAATAAGGTCTTAAGTGTTGGATGTTCAAAACTGGCCTTACATGAGACCATCCCCTCAAGTTGAAGATAGGAAGGAAGAATGTGTTACCACTCAAAAGAAGATGAGGATAGCTCAATCTTACATGATTCTGGAGGGAAAAAATGAATATGCGATTGGACAATCCCCCGTCCACCAAGACTTATTCTAGCCGCCTGCCCAGGAAGGAATCCCACCGACATAAGGATGATTCTGACCAAGGAATGCATGGACGATACGATAAGTACACTCCTCAGATCTACTAGGTTTATGCCAACACAAAATTCTGGAAAGGAAGATTCCGACCCTTTAACCCTATTAGAGAGACGTCTCGGGCTATCAAGTCAAAGTATTTTCGCTTTCATAAAGGTCACAACCACAACACCGATAACTGTAAGAGCAAGATTTGTCTCTACAGGATTATCTCTATGTTTTGATGATAACAATTGAGTATTTGTGAAAGAACCATTTTATGGTTTAATGTTTGTTATGTGCAGGTCATATTAAATTAAATATATTAGACCAAACAAACAAAAGCAACGTGTGCAGCTAGTAACTTATGGAATTACTTAATGTGACGTCATGAAGTGCTTGTAAGAAGCTAGTTTGCTTATGTATCTGATCACCATCAGTAAAGAACCAAGGGTGCTGGATATTGCAGTTGCAATGCTCCTGTGGTTTCTGCTCTGAAGAAGTGCATCTGATCTAAAAGCAAATGAAGCTCAGTGAAGAAGCAAGTTTGTCTCTGCATCTGATCATGTTCAGTACAGAATCAAGGATGCTGGATATTGCAGTTGCAATGCATCTATAGATTCTGCTATGAGTTATGCATCTGATCTGGAAGCTAACGAGCGTCTCTGAAGAGTGAGTCCTATAAAGAACAAAGTGCTGAAGACTCTGATGACTTGAAGTTCTGAAGGCTGAAGGCTCTGAAGACCAAGTGCGTCAAGACTCTGAAGACTGGTTCTGAAGGTCAAGACTCTGAAGACTCTGAAGACTCTGAAGACAGGTTCTGAAGGTCAAGACTCTGAAGACAGGTTCTGAAGAACAAGACTCTGAAGAAGTGTTCTGAAGAACAAGACTCTGAAGAAGTGTTCTGAAGGTCAAGACTCTGAAGAAGTGTTCTGAAGGTCAAGGCTCTGAAGATTCTTAAGACATGGTTTCTGAAGAATTAGTCATGAAGATTCTCAAGATTGTTTCAGAGGAAACTTAGTTCTTGGAATGCTGAAGACTGGATTCTGAAGTGGAAGATTGTGTCAGAAGAAGATTCATCCAGATGCAAGACATGTTACATCAGATAAGTTGTTGCTGTTCAAATATGATAAATCATGTGCTTATGGAAAAGGACAAGAAAGTGATGTCATCCAACACGTGCTCATTCTATCCGTTGGAATATGACCGTTGGAAATAGAAAGGACTTTTCTATCCTCACAACGTCATTCTTGGAAGCACTATAAAGGCAGAATCATTTGATTATTCAAATGTTGCTTGGTGAGCTGAAGTGGTTACTAAGTGGCTGGAGCTGTTGCTCGTATTTGCTACTTGCGCTGTTGTGCTACTGTTGCCATGAAGAAAAGCTCTTAAGTAATATAAAAGCTATGTTTTAATAATCTCTTAGAGATTTATTATTAGATTAGTTTTTATATTAGAAAGCAAGGAGTTGTTGCTCAATACTTGCTAGGAACTTAATTAGGAGTAATCTGCTTATTTGAGAAGCACTTATGTAATCTCCGGCAACACAATATTCTATTTTAGAATTAGTGGTTCCTCAAGTGATCTTGTGAAGATCAGTATACTTGAGATGACAAGTGACAGTAGTCATTTGTGGAAATCCTAATAGGAGATCTTTAGTGATCGGATTCTATTAAGGTGTCAATGAACGTTATATCCTTGGGGATCCCTGAACGTGTCATTGTCAAGTTGTTAGTCACTTGCAGTTAGCTTGTGCAACTGTAATCTGTTTGGTTATAGTGGATTAAGTCCTTGCAGTGAGTAAGGCGAAATCACCTTGGAAGGGTGGACTGGATTAACTTGAGAGTTGCTCAAGTGAACCAGGATATATCTTGTGTTCTTTACTTGTTTAGTTTATTGTTTATGCTTCCGCATTGCTACATCTAGAAACAACACAGAAGAAGATGGCAAAAGTTTTTAAGTAACCAAATACCCAATTCAAACCCCCCCTTTCTTGTGTATTTTTCACACCTACAATTGGTATCAGAGCCTGGTTCTGTTATTGATGGATATCAAACACCTAACAGTGTCAGATAAAGATCCATAGGCTGTGTGAAGAAATACTTTTGGGGATATTTCACCGTTCTTACAATTTCAGTCTCATATCAGTTTTTGAGGATAATGAGTACTAAAATTGTAATCTATTGAGTTACCTTGAGCAAGTCACTGATTCTATGAAGTTTGAAATTTGAAGTGTTGAAGCCTTCAACAGCAAATCTCCTCCAGAAGATTCTGAAAGAAGAATGAAGAATTAGTTGACAGGATAGATTCATCAGATAAGAAGATATATCTGTTGAATGCTGATCTGAAAATACGTTTGGATTTACAATGTATTTGCTCAAAGTCCAAATCTTCAGCAAGCAAGAAATCTTGATTGCTAAAGATTAATTCTTGTGAGTCTGAGATGTTTTCAAGAAACGGATTAGTCCACACTTGACTTTCTCATGAAAACTCATTGGAATTTATCTTAAGTAAGAAAAGATATTATTGCTGGATAATGAATCCTATTCATCAGAACGCCAGAATGAAGTCTGCAGAAAAAGGTAAGTTCAGAAAAATATTCAAATCTGGAAGAAATGTTTCTTTAGATTCAAAGCATTTGAAAGTTGCTCTCCTTGAAGAGCTTCAAAGAATTCTGCAGAGGTTTCTAGAAAGGCAGTGTTTCTAACTCATCTGGATTATGATGATATGATGAATTCAGAAGATCTCATTAGAAGTAGCATGGACAATTAAGTTCTATTAACTCGAGATGTTGAACAAACTGAAATTGGTCAGATGCTATCAGACAT